CAATTATCTACTGCCACAGTTTTCACAGATCAGCACTATAATCAGTTGTGTTAGATTATTCTTACGGAGGCAGTAAAGCTATCTATAGGCTGTTATGCTATTAAAATAGCTTTGCCTAATAGTGCTTCTATTCACAATGCATCCTTCACTTAGAAATTATTTATACTTTGACAATTCTTCCCATTTTATCTGCTTCATGGTTGTCTTGAGGTACTTAAAAGTGAAATTTTAGCCAGTTCAATATTTGGTAAAATTGTGAAACACAGGATAAGTTTCTTGAATCTGATTCCATATGTTTCTGTCTTGTCTCCCAGTTGACTGATTTTGAACTTAAATTTGCTCTTTCCATTTGAACAGCCCTAATTTTACTGGTTTCTTGCTTTTTATAATACTCTGCATCATGCTTTTGTCTTTGGGAAACAAGCAGAACAATGAGAATCTATCACATGTTTTGATAACACGATTCTGCAGTGTATTGAGGTTTTTATTAGCTGAGTTTCCTGAATGAAAGCTAATCATGAAATATTTCTGAAGATTGCAGAAAAACATAACTTCTTAATATTTGAAGATCGTAAATTTGCTGACATTGGTAATACTGTGACAATGCAATATGAAGGGTGAGACCACAGCTCCCTGCAATATATGTTCATTTATCCTTTGATATTTACAATCAAGTGTCAAAAAATTTGCTTGTATTTTCTGCAGGGGAATCTTTAAAATATTGGATTGGGCAGATATAGTCAACGCTCACATTGTTTCAGGTCCGGGAATTGTTGATGGGTTGAAATTGAAGGTTTGGATATGTACTTAATGTTTATTTTTTTTTCAGTGGTGAGCTTCTAGAGATACTTACATTTGATTGGAATGCTGTAATTAGGGTTTGCCTCGTGGTAGGGGCTTGTTGCTACTAGCAGAAATGAGTTCATCTGGTAATTTCGCTAAAGGAGATTACACAGCTGCTGCTGTCAAAATTGCTGAGGGCCATTCAGATTTTGTTATTGGATTCATTTCTGTTAATCCTGCATCATGGCCTAGTGGACCAGGAAATCCAGCCTTAATTCATGCAACCCCTGGTGTTCAATTGGCGAAAGGTGGAGATGCTTTGGGCCAGCAATATAACACCCCATTTTCTGTAAGTTCAATTTTCTTTTATCAGGTCTTCCTTGTAGTTCCATGCACTAGCAAACAGATTAAGGGGATTACTTCCTTTTGGTGCAAATTTTGCTATTGGTAAGAGGCCTAGTTGGATTTAGTTTTTAGAAGTTCTGGACATCTTTTCGTGCATTAGGCACCAAGTTGGCAAAAACTTTTTGGGCTGTGTGCTGAAATTGAGCATTGTAAATGCAAAAATTGATTAACACAGAAATCATACTTAACGAGAGTTTACCATTTTAATCTTGCGTTGTCCTGCAAAAAAAAAAAAAAAAAACTGCAAAAATCGAGATCAAGTGCAATGTGCTGGCTAGTTTTACAATGTGTAACAAGAAATTTCATGTTATTTGGATAATGGTGATAAAAATTACAACCTTTAAGCTTAATTTGGTGCTTTTCACAACTTTGAATCGTATTTGGGTGTAGGCTGTAGCTTGATTATTATTTTAATTGGGTTTGAACAAATGTTCATGGGGTCAAGCTCTAGTCAATTTCATCCGTTTGATTAGGCAAATTTCAAGGTTTTTCTCCAGTTGAGTCCAGTTTAAAATTTTGAAGTATTTTTGGGGTGGGCTCAAATTTGGCATTGTAAAAGTAAAAATTGATTAACACAGAAATCATACTTAATGAGGGTGTACCATTTTAGTCTGCGTGCCCTGCGAAACCAACTGCAAAAGTTGAGAACCAGTGCAATGTGCTGGCTAGTTTTACACTGCTCACATGCATAGACTGCAGAGAATACTTAGGGTTATGATTTTTTTGATCGCTGACTGGATTTGTATGTTTTTTCTTTAAGGAATTTCCTAATTAGATAGCGTAGAAAAATTTTACATGCTTATGTAATAACAACCCTCGTATGATCTGACATAAGCATGTATTTTTAGGTCATTTCTGAAAGAGGCAGTGACATAATAATTGTTGGGCGTGGAATTATAAAGGCTGCTAACCCTGCTGAGGTAGCTCGGGAATACAGGCTTCAAGGATGGGATGCGTATTTACTTCATTGCAAATAGAGAAGCGGATGCAGATGTGTGTTTCCTTTTCGGCTTGTTATTACAAAGATTTGACGGGTTTTTTGAAGCCTTCAATGCATTGTTTCCACAAATAAAATCAGAGCTAGCGTGCAACGGTGTGTTTCCCCAATTTTTAGCATAAGTGCTTGGGGCTGCCAATTTCATTCAATGAAGTTGCCTGGCTATGGTGTTTGATTGAATATTGTCATGACAGAAACAGATTGACTGCATCAAGCTGACGTGAGATTCACTGATGTGCTTCAAATAAGTACTGATGAAGCCAGTGAGAATCTTAAAACTCGTCCATTCATCTTCTTTTTGACTAGTTGCAAACCCTTGTCAATCGGTCCAGCATGCACAGACCAAAAAGCAAAAAAAAAAAAAAAAGAAGGCCTTAATAAGCAATCAAGTATGAGCGGTTCATGTATGAACAATCTTTTGTAGTTTATCTGAAATAGATTACGGTCATTATGGTTTACGCTATAAGTCTACCAATTGAGATTTCGGTTATAATAATACATTCCTTAAGGCTTATGCTATAAGTACACTAATTGAGATTTGTGAATGTTGTCTTTTCCCTTGAAAACTATATGCAAATCCATTTTCACTTTGATATTTTTGAGTCCATACATGGTTGAGGAAAGTCAACTCTTATTCTCTATCTGCGTATTTAATCACTTTAATTTTTTTTCCCTCCTCCTCTCCCTCTCTCTCCCTCTTGAAGATGAATAGACATTTCATGTTCTTATTTTACTTATTTTTAACCACTTATTTTTTATTTTTTTAGGCTCGAGCCGTGTGGGTCAAGTTGTGTTGTTGTTGTTATTATTATTATTATTTACATATAAAAGCTTTAGAGGCTCCAATGTACAGCTAAAAAAAAAAAAAAGTCCCAATGTACAACATCTTATGCAAGTGCTTAAAAGTCTGAAATTTACTTAATCATTGCATTTCATCCCCTTTTCTCTGTGTTTTCACGATAGCCTTCTACTTTTGTTATGGAAATTGTTTTTCATATGATTCCATATCTGCTTTTATGTTTTCCCGGTCAGCTACCGCTGCTTCACTTAACACAAGCTTCTGAAGCCACTGTTAATTGAGTAGCTGAGTAGCTCGAAAGCTCGTTAGAGCTCGACTCGTTAAGGCTCAAGCTCGGCTCGTTAATTTTGGTTAACAAGTCGAGTTCGAGCTCAAAACATGCTCGTTTAGTTAACGTGTCGAGTAAGTTCGGCTCGTTTGATACTCGAGTAGTTCGTTAGAGCTCGTTAATGAAGGGCATCTTTGTCATTTTAGAAATTAAAATTATAAAAATTAAAAATTATAGGTTTTTATTAAGGTTAATTTGCACGAGCTTGCACGAGCTCGTGCTCGTGAAGCTCGACTCGTTTGTGATAAACGAGTCGAGCTCGAGCTCCGCATATATTTAACGAGCCGAGTTCGAACACATTTTAAAACTCGTTTTCCTAACGAGATCGAGTCGAACTCGGCTCGAATTAAACTCGAGTTAAGTTCGGCAGCCAAATACTCGGCTCGATTAACAGCTCTAATTACCAGATATTTGCCAATCCTTCATCTTCCTTCATCTTCTCCAGAGGCCCTAACAATAAAGGAGCAGGCCATTTTTTTAGTGCTATCCAGTTTTATATATACGTCACTCAAACCCACAAAAATAACAGGCGAAGGAGAGGAGCACAGAAAACCACCACCACCTTTTTCTTCTTTTCATACTTGCGGGAAAACACAGGAGAGTCTTTGAGCAAGAAAATGTATAGCAACGGAGACTCTTCTTCTCCGGAGGACTCCAATGGCGAATCAAATGAAAAGGCTCAGAGATCGATCAGAGTTATTAATCCCACGTATCTGATTTAGTTTTGCAGTTTGTGATGCGATTTGGGTAGTTCTATGTCATCTAGGAATTGTTTGTTGCACAGAAAGTGGCTAAAACGAAAGAGATGTTGTCGAAGCAAGCAGGTCAAACCAAACAGATCTTGTCTAAACATGCAGACAAGATTGCCAAACGGGTGTAATGGAGTAAGAAGCTAAGAAATGCAGGAGGAGTGAAGGCGTGAAGTAAAATGAAAAGAAAGCGTGGCCAGGCAGAAAGTTGTGTAGAGAAGACGTGAACTAAGGAGGACAATCATCAAGCAGTGCACAAGAAAGACAAAGGCGTGAAAGCAGGGAAGGAGAAGGCGCGAGGGAAGCCGAAGGCGCGAACGGAGAAGCACGCCTTTTCTGGGTTCATGCTATTCTTGCTGAGACCAGTCATTCCAGAAGATTCTCTCTCACATGGCAACCGTTTCATTAGCAAGTGGGAGGAGTTTGTTAGAAGTAGCTTCTATAAATAACGTGATCATGTAATTTGTTTGGGCATCATCCAACTAGATTCTTGTTATTGTAATCAGAAAGGGAATATCCCTTCTGTTAGTTCTTTCTCCTCAAGTTCTTCCTGCATTCTTCTTACCCCTCCTTCCCTTTCCCGCCAATTCTTTTTCAGTATCCAATTTGAAGTTTATTCAATAATAGTGAAGGTGATTATCGAACTTAATTCAGCTTGAGTGCAGTTTATATCTACCTATTAATCCAATTATCTCCATTCCTGCAACATTTTCCAGTTCTGTACCACAACAACGGGCTGAAGAGCACGAAAGATTCATGAACAAGGTAATCAAGTAACCGACCGACCAAAACCCACCATATGTTTGTCAGATGGTCTCAGTGGCTATTAAAAGAACAACTTTGTAGCTCATATTTGTTTCGGGGATTCATAGTTTATTTACTTTTACTAGCATGTTTGCTTATGGTTTGGTGACCTGGGATGTCGATTTTAGGTTGCATTGATTGGGAGCTTTTTGGGTTGATAGGTGACTTATTTGTTGAGTGTTCTTGGGTTTGGAACATTCTGCTTTCTGTTGGGTGCCAGTGAGTATTACATTCTTAAGATTTGATAATTCAGTTATCTTTATCCCTCGAATAATTAGTTAGGCCTTGTGGATTGTCATTTGCTAATTTGCTTTTGCGGTTCTTTTCTATTGTGGCGCAGGGCCTCAAGATGTCCCTTATGCACATTGTTTGCTCTCTGTCATATTTGTTCCTCTACGGTGGATTTATTATCGATACAAGAAATGGCATTATTATCTCTTGGTAAGCTCTTCCTGTTTTGCAACTTCTTGTTTTGGCCCATTTAACTATACGAATATTTTTTGTTTTGCGTATCTCGGTTATTTAGATGTTTTGTCGAAGAGGTTCTAGAGTCCTAATTAGACAAAATCACTTTATGTTTAGTTGGAATTCTGATGGTACATGTTATCTGTGAATTTTTCTGTTTCAGTGTAGACTTCATCTCCTACAAAATGTACTTTCTCTTGTGTCGCTATGTACTTCTTTTGCCATTCAGGACTTCTGCTACTACGCCAACACACTATTCTTGGTCATGCTTCTTTGTTTTCCTAGAAATGAGAAGTTTTTCATGATTTGCTTCTCTTTTGCAGAGGTAAGCAATCAATCTGGAGATGCCTTGTTTTCATCTAAATGGCATTAAGATTTGCTTCTTTATGTCTTGACTCCTCACATAACTGCAGGGTCCACTGGCTTGGGCACTGATTGTGTGGAGATGCAGCTTAGCCTTTAATTCTTTCGACAAAATTGTAAGCGTCTTCATACATCTTTTGTCTGGTAAGTTGGACATCCTTCTCTACAAAATAAGACAAAGGAACTTAAGAACTTTTTGATCCAACTTCGGCCCTTCTTTTCCTTGATCCCCAAAGCAAAAGCTGCAAAAATTATCTGTGGAATTCTTGATACGGTGGCCAAAATACCTGCCACATCTGATGTTCAGATTGCCCTATGCAAGGAAATTGTGCAATAGACGCGTGATGAGAAGTGAACTTTCCTTCGTTAGCGCATTGAGGCAAAGCTTGCAGCTCTATTGATGAAGACCAAGGAAGATTCCGAAACTTCAGCTCTCCTTTCTGGACCAATCAAGGAGGTGAGAGGATATAGCTTTCATTTTATATGGTCTTTTGCACTTGTATAATTTCTCTCATGGGAAAGTTTCATGTTTTATGTCTCTGCAAGTTCAGAATATAGGAAAGCTTCAGCTGAGTCCATTAAGTGCTCTTTTTATCACTTGAATTTCTTCATTTCCAACCTCCCATGACTCAAGTACTGATTTACCTTGACAGCTTTGCTCAAAAAGCATCCTTTAGTTGATATAAACTTCTTTTCCTGCAACTGCTTTATAATTTCATACTACAGACCGGCTTTTATGTATTAATTGTTTTTTGAGGACTTGCAACAACTGAATGTTGAACAAACAGCTCAAGAAACTTAAGCACATAATCAATAACTAATATGTTTCCTTGCTCCAAATCATTATGTTGTCTCAAAAGTTGAGACAAGTCCAAATCTATTTGTTTAAGTTTTGTTTTACCTTCTTTTATGATAGCCATGATATAAAAAATGATGCAGTTTTTCTTAATGAGTTTGAAGACCAAATCCGACTTAAAAATAAATAGAAATGGAATAAAAGAAATGTAGGAATCACATCTAGGTTTTACTACTGTGTTACCATTAATTGCTTGAGTCCTGATGAACTTTGAATTCGATAAGTGCAATTCTAATAAGTATTATTGACGATTTGGAATTCCACTTTTGGAGGTCGAAAGTTGGAGTCAAGTTATGCTCCTAGAATACCTGCTCTTTTTTTTTAGTGTCTTACTAGACAATTTCACATAATTATTTATCTAAATGTTGATGTTTGAATAGTTTATCTAGAAAATTGCATAAAAAGCGATTTTTCTGATATGATCTAGAGAACCATTTCATGAGTATTGAACTTTGTCCCTTCTAAGTACCCCAAAGAACCTTACGCCCAGCCTTCTGCATTTAGATTGCGTAGAATTCTATGATCCTCAATTGTTCCTCGTTCTGGAACTGCTCAGAATCTAGGTAACCTTGGGAATGACTTTTGGTAAACGTAACAAGTCCCTCATGAGAGACTGGTATCATACAAAATATGGAAACCAATGTTTCATTTCCATTCTTTAACCTCCTTATCAGAAAGAAATAGATCCAGCATGGCAGACTGGTAGAAAATTGAAAGTTTCAAGGATCTAAAGGAAAACCAACTCATAACTAAGGCTCTCAATCTTAATTTCTAAGAGCTATCATTTGTGTAAATTTGTCATCTTTTGTATTGAAGTTAATTCTTTCAAAAATAAAAAATAAAAAAAAATCTTTAGCAAGCCACATATTAGTACAATTCAATGATACTTTCTGCTAATATCCTCAGAAGTTAGACCTTTTGCTACTGCAAAATAATGAAGCCAGTTTTCTTATTGTTCACACCCCAAACAAATAAAAAATTCATTTACAAAACTGCTTCTCTATGTAAGATATTTTAGTAAAAAAATTTTTTCAAGCTAAAAATAATAAGTAATGTTTTCTAGCAATTGGATCATTTTGAGATTGAGCCAAGCAGCCAGCATTATAGAACAAAAAACACCTAACTTAACGTTGAGATAGGTGGAATTATTGCAACAACCAACCGCCAGCAACACAAACTACAGTCATACTACTACTACTTAATGCATTTCCTCTCTGCAATACCATCCACGTTTGTTTGGATTGAGCATTATTTACCCACTTTTATTTGCTTACATCATCATTACAATTTCCAATACACCTTTTTACCTTCCCAATTACTTTTTTATCTCACATACATCACATCACAAAAAGTGCTACAGTAAAAATATTCTAAATAATCCCAAATAACTTACAATCCAAACAAAATCAGTCTTTCTTGATAAATACAGAGAAGAAAAAGGAATCAATTTTTAGCTAATTAATTTGTAGAGTAGAGTAGCTAATCAATTTAATTTGAACAAGTACAATATAATTCTTCTGAATGTTTTTTTTTTACAAATGACTATAATATCTTTTTGTCATGCTTAACCTTCTTGTAGTAAAATACTTATTTTCCCGTACTGGACATTGATACCCTTTTAAACATAAGGGACAGGCGTAAAGATAATCATTTATGGCAGAAAAGGGATATCCATAGATATCCAAACATCTGAAACATTACGATCTCTACATCTTCGCTGCCAGCTACCATTGCTTCAATTCTTGAGTCAATTTTCATCTCAGCCACTAGCCCTTCTGAGTCAATAACTCATACCATTGCTTCATTTACTGAGCTAGCTTATTCTTTTACAAATATCCTTAGGAAATGTTCAAAGAACAGAGGTTACTGTTGATTACATTTGATCTGCTCTCCTTGGGGGCATTTTTGTCATTCCAACCTCTTGCTTGATCTTTTTCTTAAAGCTCATACAACTGATTACTGCTTTTGCTGGGAAAATACCTTTTTTCTGCCCTTATTACAAGCTTTATGCAAATGTTAGTTATTGCTGAACTCTCATGATGTTACCCTTATTACTCATTCTTGCAATTGTATGTACACAACTTTTTGTATGTTCAAAAAATTGATTACTGAGTGTTTATCATTTTGCAGTGAGAGTGTATATGAAGATGAGGAATTTGATGAGACCCAGAGGCAACTAGCTGCATTATTGGCCTCAAAGATTCAAACATGCTTTTCCTGTATCTTTAATTCTCTTCTTGTCTGTTTTATATAATAAATTGGATGATAGAAATAATGATCTACCTTACTTTGAAGTTTATGATTAAAGAAACTCGAAATCCTTCTAAACAATAGTTTTGTTGGAAGTTTTTGTTTTAAAGCCTACTTCTACAGAGTGCTCATCTTCTTGATTAATATTTTAGCATTCATTTTACCACGTTATGTAAAATGCATTTCAAGAAGAGGAAGCATAAGTTATTTTTGCTTTTGTATGCGTTCATTATTTATAACAAATCTGTCTCCCCTCTCAGGTAATTTGTTATTGGAATGAACTAAATCACTCATTGTTGTATGCCCTTGGAGCTGACCTTCTATTCGATGTATCAGAAGATTCATATTATGTCCGAAGTATTCTAGGTAGGATGTTGTTCTTGAATTCTGCCTTCTAAATTTGTTCAGAATTTGTATGTATTGCATTTATAAGCAAATAAATCATGGTTAGATAAATACTAATTTTTGACTATAAAGTGGCATTGGTACTACATAACTTAAATATGCATTTCTTTTTAACCATGGCATGCACGTCTTACTTATTTTTCTATTATATGCTTTTGTGTCTCAGCTAAAGCTATAGACGAATGTCCTGACCTCAAGACCAAGGCTGCTGAGTCAAATAAAGTAGCAAAGATAGATTCAAGATCAAAATTCATTGTTAAAAGGATGCTTGATAAGTATGTAAACTTCTGAAATGCTAGATTACACTATAGATTTAAACTTTTTCTCATTATCCCATTTTTGAACCTCTCTGTAGGTTTATAACTAACAGAAAACATCAATAAGCTGTGAGAATAGCCATAAAATACCAAAGATTGGATAAGATTGAGGAAGCAGTTATAAGAAGTGACAACATTCAAGTAACCCTATACTATTGTAATCATGTCTCTCACAGTTTTGTCAGCTCTAGAAAATATTAGTGTGACGTGGTTATATCTATCTAATTCATTCTTGTTAACCTTATTCATAATTCTAATTCATTCTTGTTAATCTTATTACTAATTCTAGAGAACATTAGTCCAAATATATTAGATGTCAAAATTTGAGAAATTCTGACCCTCAACTATTTTAATGCAGATACAACGTCTTCTTGTTATAGTATTCCAAAAACTGCCATCACCTGATTATTTAAGCATATGTCAGCTTCTCATGTTTTTGGATAGACCACAGGACATTGCAGCTGTATTTGAGAAACTCTTAAGAACAGAAAGCAATAATGATGCTTTATTGGGATTTCAAATAGCATTTAACCTTGTAGAGAATGAACACCAAGCTTTTCTTTTGAAAATGAAGGACCAACTTTTCAGTCTCAAGGAAGATGTTTACGCTGAGAGGTTATGAAAAAGAAAAGGAATACTGTTTGGAGAGATTTCCATACAGTTGACATTGCAATTCTTATATAGTTATTATAACTAAGGCATTTTCCCTATTTTCTTTTCTTTTCTTCCCAAGATAGTTTCTCAGTTTACTGGATTTCTTTGAAGTATTTGACTAATTGTTGGTTTTTTGCATATTACATTGCATGTCCTAATTCTCAACACAATAAAGCAATCTGTTGAGATGAGAAATAATATTTGTCATAATGCAACTATATATGCTAATAGCATTATGCATGCTGTCAGAACCGTCAACACTTTACTGTGCACCTGCTTTGCTCATCATTTTATATGTTGCATAATGATAAAAGTAGTCATTTCTATCTAACATTTTGCATTTGTTTAAACTCTTAGAACTGGCTCACCAGGGCTACAAATTAGGTTAAGTTTAGTGCAACAGCACTACGAGAAACACAAGCATTGTCTACTATAGGGAAGGCATAAATCAGTTCCTGTGTGATAGTCTAACAAGCGCTAATGCTGAGGTATTTGCCTTGTTGTGTTATGTAAAAAAGTACCTATTTTTATCTTTGCACTTTTCCGCCTTTTTTAAAAATTGTCTCCTACAAGTTATTCAACATAGAACCTACCTTAAAGAATATCCTTTACTTAGACATCTCTGCTTAATGTCTATAATCTATTTCTAAAATTAAAAGCTTAATGAATTCTCTCTTTTGAAAAAGTGAAATCAAAAGTCAGTTGGACATTTCTAACGATTTGGCATTGGGGATAGCTCTTGACAGTTTATGGAACAGAAGAAACAACTGATACACTGATTGAGCAGATAACTTGGGATCAAGACCCCATACTACGTTATGGATAAATGTATGCATTTGCATTGGCTTACAGTAGAACTGCAAACAACAAGGCCATTCGACAGCTGCTGCATTTTGCTGCATCAGAATTGAGTGACAATGTTAGGCACACTGCAGTTTTAGCACTGGGTTAGTTTCTCTTACGTTCAGGTTTGGCACTTGCACATGGTTTATGTTCTAGGCTATAAGAATTTGACACCAAGGCTTTACTTCTCCGAACAACTTTTCATATGATGTATTCGCTCTTAATTTTTTCTAACCTTCTACAGGGATCGATGAAAATGAACATATTGAACAATCCATCTAATTGAGTTGCTAATCTTAAAATGTAGACTCCTCAAATCGTCTCCCTGCTCTCGGAATCATATAATCCACATGTTCATCAAAGTCCAGTTCTTATGTTTGGCATATCATGTGCTGGTACTGGTCTGAGCGAGGCCATATCATTGCTGGAGCCTTTGACATCAGATGTGCCAGTGATTCCCCTGTTGATGCATTCAGGTAGTTTTTTGCCTCATTTAACAGTGATTCCCTGATTTTTTTTACCTTATTTAACAGACGGCAATTGGAAAAATTTATTCTGGATAAGCATCAGGACACTACGAGCAAGATGCTTGCAATTTGAGCATTAGGAATGTTGGATGCCACTATTCACTGATTTAACCTGAGCATAAAATCTCATTAATGCTGTACAATAACTCATAAGTATTAATCTTCTTGTTTCATTTTCTTCTCTACATCAGAAGTATACAGACTCTTATTTCTTCTGCTGCATTCATTTTAGATTACATCAACATAATGGATATTCAATGTTTTCCCATCTATTACTACCTCTATGCTATTATACTCGCACCTTCTCCACATACCAACTCCCCTGCTATTACTTTGACTAAAACTTTCCTCCTTGTGTAATGAAGATTGAGAAACGCAGCATTTTCATTTCACATTTAGTCACAATAGATGCATGATCTTTTTATTATAGAATAAAAAAAATGTTTTCGTTGACAATGCTTTATGTTGGATTTTTTTTAGTTGTTACAAGCTTTGCTCACGGACAATTTTGTAATTGGTAGATTCATGGTGCTGCAGAAAGGAAATCAGAACTGGAGCTCTTTGAATGGACTAAGCATTTTGAGCTCATGTGTAACACATAGTTCACGACACAAGCTTGAACTAGCGTGTCAGTTATTGCTTTTTTTTTTTTTTTTTTTTTTTTTTTTATAGCAGCATGGACATTGTTCTTTAACTTTTTTAACAGGAAACTCAGTCTATTGATTTCTGCTCACACTTAATATCAGAGCCTAAAACATCATGCAGTGAAAGCAATTGCTCATGCTCATTCGTTGCAAGACACTTATTGCGCTTATAGATTGTATATACAACTTCCACATTGCTACTATTATCTGTTTCTTATCTTCGCTTCTTTTTCTCTTTCAACTTTTTCCCTTCCCTCACCCCTGTATAATTCTCTATATATTTAATCAAGTTTGTTTTCTCTTCATTACTTCTCAGTACAATGACAATTTCAAGCAGTAATCAATTATATAAAAAACTCAGACCAGTTCTCCTCTGCTCATCAAACAGAAAAGTGAAAATCAGGAATTGCTTAAACTCAATGACACCTTACTAATATATACTACTTTTCCATGGTAAGGAAGCTTGCTAACAGGTCTAAAGTTCCCACGCCTTGCATGGGAAGTAACCCCTAGTTTACACATACAAACACCCAAGAAATCAACTCAAACGCACACACGCACAAAAAAAAAAAATCAAAGTATATGCTTTATTTGCGTAATCACCTATTCAAAAGTATTTGTAATTGAAGGTGTGATTATTTGGGTTTTTTTCCCTAAATATACCTATATATATAGTGGCACTAAATTCAATAGTTATTCGTGAAAGCAAACATGATGCAACCAACCCATGTAAAACCCACGTCCTGGCTCATTTTTTTTATTAGTTTATTTTGCTCAATTAATTGAAAAGGCAAAATTACTATGGGTGAAAAAAATAATATAAAATTTATTAATAGGATAGGGTAGAGGAGTAATTAGGGTTAGTAAGGAGATGAGATAGAATAAGTGTTCATAATAAAGTAAAACTCATATCTAAACCACCTACTAGTGGGTAGTTGCTAGGATTTAGAATTTTATCAAAGCAATAGAGAGAAAAAAATTAACACCATTCTTACCTTTCTCTTGTCTGCCTCCCTTAGAGCAAGAATCCACTAAGAATAGAGGAGAAAGAGAAGACGTCGTTGTCGTCGATCAAGCAGACAACTAAGCACCTAGACCTGTAAGTTCCGAACGCACGCTAAAATTCTTTTTCTCTTGAATTTTATTAGTTCCACGAATTATTTTGAAAATTTCGAGTACATGTACATTGAGATATATTTATGCCTGTATGAGAAATTTAGAAAGATTTAGGTTTGGATTAGTAGGATTAGGGTATTAAATTCTAATTGTGGGATGAATAGGATTACCAATTTGTTGGAAGGTTATTTAAAAAAAAAAAGAAAAAAGAAAGAGGGGAAGAGCAGCGGCGGCTGCCGCTGCTGTTGTGTGCGTATGAGAAATTTAGGAAGATTTAGGTTTGGATTAGTAGGATTAGGGTATTAAATTCTAATTATAGGATGAATAGGATTACCAAATTGTTGGAAGGTTATTTAAAAAAAAAAAAGAAAAAAGAAAGAGGGGAAAAGCAGCGGCGGCTGCCGCTGCTGTTGTGTGCTTTGCTAAAGCTTAGCAACGCAACAACTGGGAAAAAAAAAAAGAAAGGAGGAAAGGAAAAGCCGCCAGCACAGGGCTGGCGACATGAAAAGGTTAACCTTTCGGCCAACTGAATGAAAAAAAAAAAAAAAAAAGAAGGAGGGAGAAAGTCGCCAGCGCATGGCTGGCGACAGAGGAACCAAATTGCCAAGGTTGGCCAGGAAAAAAAAGAAGTAGAAGTCAAGAATGGCTTGGCAAAAGCTTTGGCAACGCCAGTGGAGTGCAAGCCAATAGAAAATTTTTTTTCAATAGTTATGATAATATTAAATAAATAAACATATATATATATATATGTATGTATAATGGCAAGTATATTTGGATTAGAAAGATAGCATTGGCTTAGTGAATATTTAGTAAATAAATTTAGAAATAACTAGGCCATCTTTTATGGACTAACATAGGAACTAAATTTCAAAATCCAATCTAAAGATAATTTTCGGAGTTAAAGATTAGTCATTTAAGCTTGTACTTAATTAATTAAGTCTAGGATACTTAGATAGAAATCTAAAATATCTTAATCTAGCCTTATTAGATTAATTTATACAATGTAAGATAAGTCCTAGATGGTTAAACGAAGCACTTACAATCATAATAACAATAATAACAATACTAACGATAACACTGATAATCATAATGGATAATAATAAATCATAAATATGTATAGCAAGATAATAGTCAAGATAATAAATATGATGATGAATAATTATTTTCTTCTAAATTAGGAAACTTTACAAAAAGGAGAACCTTCCAAATTAAAGAATTTTCTAAAAATAGAAACTCTCAAATTTAAGAAACTTTTCAAAAATAGAAATCATCCAATTTGGGAAAATGCTACTAGGGTTCATATAATGGTCTAGACAAGAATCTTTGACTTGCTCAGAGTTTGTATATTTATGTATCTGTGGGAAATATCAACTAATTAGAAAATCTATGTATTTGATAGGTATGACACAAGTTTAAAAAATCTAAAGCAGTTCCACTCGAATAGCCAGACAAAGGTAGGTGGTACTTACCCTTCTAAGATTTCAAAAGTTTAAAGTGAAATTTTTGTCATTGATTATATTTTTATGTGTTAATCTGAATTGTTTTTGATTAAATGATTTACTTGACTATTTAAGCAAGTTCTATTTTGACTATGCAAAAATGGACCATGTGATTTATTTGAAACCTCTTGACATATTATTATATAGCGAATGAGCTGTATCTTTTATGAAATCAAGAACTATGCATGTGACGTGTGAAGTGAATTTAGATCAAGAAAAACTCAAAACAATCATGGAATAGACGGTAGGGGCTATAGTCCTGTCTAATGGTCATAGTAGCCTGGTATAGAGTCCGGCCGATTAACAAAGTCATGGTAGTCTGGTATAAAATCCGGTCAATTGATCCATGTATATAATGAGACCAATCACTAGTCATGAAATATATTGGTCGCCTACCTAGAAGGGGTTTAATCTCTAGGCTGAGTACTTAGTAACCGGTCATTACATGCACTTGTTATGAGCTGATCTGAAGAGACTTATGAATTAATAGAAAATGATCTATGACTTTATGACTTTCATGTACGGTTACTAATAAGATGCTTTGAAATTGCTTTGTCACTCGTTATTACTAATTGTTTTACCCATAACATTATTTTCATGATTATGGACGTGAATGATGTGTAAATAATTTGATTTATATATGTATGTATCTGTAAAATTATGAGTGCATGGTCCAACAGAAGGGTAGCTATTACCTATTGAGCGACTTGTCGCTCAGCCTACAGTTTTACTATCTTTGCAGATTTTGAAGAGTATGAGTTGATTTACGTAGAAGACCCTGAGGAGGACTTTTATTAGTTTTAAAGTGAACAGAAGTTAGTAGGCTAGCTACTTCTAGTTGTTAGTTTTATTTACTTTTCTTTCCGCTGTTTCAACCAGAGAATAAATGTACGAACTTATTGGATATTCATAGACTATCCTTCATATGAGATTTGTCCCGTACTTTATTTAGTTATATTATTTAGTACTTTTAAAATTTAGTCTAGTTTAATGTTGTCTTGTATTCTTGAGCGGGACTTGAGAATACGGCGGATGCCACGTGACAGGTTCGTGCGGGCTCGGGGCATGACATTTTTAGTGGTATCAGAGTTTAGGTTCGAAATAACACCATAAGATAGAACGGTTTAAGAAATGAATGGTGGTGATTAGTAAATTAAGCTTGAAAAGATTTGTGTACCTTAGAGAGGAAGAAATCATGACTAATAGTGTTCCATTTGGCATTGTAGGAGATGGCCGAATTGGTACACGGGGAGCACTAGGATTACAACTACCCAGTTCATGTGATAGGATGCGATGTGGCCCGTCTTAGGAAGATACAAAGATTATATAGGGACAGGTACCTTGAGGAGTCAGAGAGAGCCACGGACGGAGTTAGGAAGGCTCATGCGTTGGCTGATCGAGTAGCTGACAAAACGCACGAGATCTCGACGTTAATAGTGTCAGGAGAACACATGAGACAAAACATGGAAGACTGGCGTGAGGAGGCCCTTCGTCTACGAGAAGAGGTCAATAAGTTGAAAGTGAAAATGGAAGTATAGAAGGGATTAACTGATATGTATAATGAAAATTTTGAAGAAGTAACTTCCCTACTCCAGGATCGAGATACGGAGTACCAAACTTTAGCGGTTTAATATGAAGAGAGGAGGCAGCGCGTGATGAACTGGATAGATGACCACCAACCCCTTGTACCCAAAATGCTTGGGTGGAATCACCTGTGACCTAATAGTGACGCGGAACTAGATAGCGACCCCGAGGAGGATCCTGAGAACATACCCGTAGATAACCATTAGGGGAAAATGGAGTTGAGGACCGGGATGGTGCTGAAGGGGTGTAGGAGACGGAGCAATTGTGGATGCAGACCCATCCGCAGATGAGTAGTAGAGTTGGTCTAAGAGACATTCTATTTAATGATTCGTCTATTTTATTAGTGTTATGGAATATTATTTCAAGAACATTAGTAGGTTGGTTAGTGATTGTTTGCATTGATTAGTTTTTCTATCTAACCGTAGATTATTGGACAGTTTGGACATTAGATTCGTTAGATATTTCTAGAAAAAGTTAGGATATAGACTTCAATGCGTAAGAAGTCGATCTTTTCATCTTGAGTTAGTGAATAAAATCTCTACTTTAAATTTTTATTTAGTCATCTATTTTATTTTTGGAGTAGTATGCATAAAATATGCAAGTAGATAACTTTAGTTGTGGCATCTTAAAAATATATACTCACATATATATATGTATAATAATAAATAAGAATAAAATACTTAATTTAGTATGGAACTTATTTGTTTGATTTAAGAAATGGCATAAAAAACTAGGCGTGGCGGAAATCATAATGGCAGCCCTACTGGTGAAAATGATCACGGTAATCACAACTAAGAACCATATCAAGGAAATAATAATCAGAATATGA